ACACCAGAGCTTCTTACTTGTAGCAATCAGGAATTAGACAGTCCTGGAATAAATACACTGCCAAACCAGTAACAAATTCTGTTTTCGGCAAATCTACATGCAGTTCACTCATGGCATTTCTGCCTACAATCTCCACTGTTCCAACCCTTGCCGATGCTGTTAGTGCCCTGGAGTGGATTCTGACCCTTAATAGTGACCCTATTACAACAACGCGAAACAGTGCCTGAGCCTATGCCATGCTCACAGGCCCTGCTGTTTGAGCACATGTGTCAATCCAGCTCCTTTTCCCTGACCCTCTCCTTTACTAAGCATGATGGCCTTCTCCTGACACCATGACCAAAGGGTGATAAATAAAGTCTCACCAGCCTTCCTTCTAAAGAGCTTTCTGGCTGTAGTTCTGCCAAAACAAATGTGCTGGTTCTTTCGGCCATCCACGGGATAGTCCGTATTCTCTGCCAACAATGTAATTCAAATTCTTCTTCAGTCATCCTTATTTACTGTCCAGCTTTCGCATGCATGTAACCCACTGCCATCCCGTCAGTTCCAACTTATAGCAATTCCATGTTTCCTAGACTGTAAATCTGTCTGGGAGCAGAAGGCCTCATCTTTTTCCCTTGGTGCAGCTGGTCGCTTTGAACAGCCAATCTTGAGGTTAGCAGTCTAATGTTTATCCTACAGCATCACCAGGCTCCTTTCACAACACATGAGGTGACTCAAAAGACAAAGGCCTGCTTCAGCTATGCCTAACCAACTAACTCTCCTAGGAGAACACCAAGGTTTTGTTTTCTGACGTTAAAGGATCCAAATTTCAAATTTTTCAGGTAAGTATTCTCAGAAGTCCCATACAAGTTCAGTGCAAGACCCATTCCATGTCAATATGATTTAATTTTTTAAGCAGCAAATGCTAAATTTCAAAAGGCTGCCAGAACCTTATTAAATACCTAATTCAAAATATTTTCTATACTCTTCTCAATGTGGTGGTGGTAGTTATATGCTGTGAAGTCGGTTCCGACTCATAACGACCCTGCAGAGGGTTGCCAATGCTATAAATCTTTATGGGAGCAGAAAGCCTCATCATTCTCCCTCAAACCAGCTAGTAGTTTCAAACTGTTGACCCTGAGGTTAGCAGCCCGACTTGTAACCACATTACCTGTGCTCTTCATTCGCAATGTATTATCTAAGTAAGTCATAAAACCTATTAAGTTGAAATACAAAATAAAATTAAAAAGAAATTAAGAAAAGCTATGGGATCAAAGGCCTCTAGCTTCAGAAAAACTAGATTTCAATTTTGTATTGATAAGCTGTCATCCCTACAGCAATATGGGACATGTACTTTAGATAGCCATTTAAATTTCTCTCCATAAAAAACAAAAAAATTCCTCTCCAATAAATAAACTTTTTAAATTAAACTAATACTGACTTTGCATCGTTTTATTATTTAAAAATAGAAGTTGAATTAGTTATTTTTTAGAGTAAGAATTTAATGCGTAGTAGTTATGAATCAGACTGCGAACCACAAGGTCAACAGTTCAAAACTACCAGCTGCTCCGCGGGAGAAAGATGAGGCTTTCTGCTCCCGTAAAGATTTACAGCCTCAGAAACCCTGTTCAGGGTCATTATGGGTCGGAACCGACTCCACGGCACTTAACAACAACACTCTAAAAGGTCTCTGGTTAGTGAAGACAGTTTGGTCTCAGTTCCTAACTGAAAGACTTCTGGTTCGAATTCACCCAGTGGGAGCATGGAAGAAAGGCCTGTTAATGTCCTTCCTCCATAAGATTAAAACCCGCGACCATCACACGTCCATTCTGTCTCACAATGACTCTGAGACTGGAAATCTTTATAGGAGCAAACAGCCTCATCGTTCTCCCAAGGAGTAGCTGGTGGATTTGAACCGTCGAACCTTGTAGTTAATAGCCCAATGCCTAACCCAAAGTGCTACTACAGTTCCTTTCCAGCCACTGACAACTCTAAGGAGTACAGTTCTACTCAGAAATGTAGGGTTGCCACGAATTGGAATCCATTCAATGGCAATGGGTAAGCCAACACAGTTGTTGTTAAGTGCCATCGAGTTGCTTCTGACTTAGAACGACCCTGTATAGGGTTTCCAAGGAGTGGCTGGTGAGTTTGAACCACCGACTCTGCAGTCCAGTGCTTATACTACAGCACCATACCAGGACTTCAAGCCAACATTCAAATCTACAAAAATTGATCAAATTGTTCCAAATTATTGATAAATATTCTTCTTTAAGGCATGAAAGTACAACAGTGTTCAACTGCATCAACCATATTTCTTCAGGTGCTTTTTGGGGCATCTTAAACCAGTCCTAACGTTTTTCCTTTCAAAACACAAGCACATATACACATTTACCCAACAGCCTTCCCCCCAGGAAGTACAGAAGATACTAAATCTGATTAAACTAGTACTTAGCCGAAACAACTCACCTGCCATGCATTGATGCTCATTCTAGAAAGTAGATATACTCTACAAGTTTAGAACACAACTATCCTCCATTTATCATGATATGGAGAAATAATGAGTTTCAAAAGGCAAACAATCAAGAGGCTGGCACTGCTTCCAAGAAAAAAAAAGGAAAATGCCTGACAAGCAACACAAGCTAGCTGCTCAAACCACAGGAACTCTGCTATTTTACACATGTGCACGCCAAACTGTCCAAATTAAATTAGACCAATGTTTCGTTTACCAAAATCAAAATCATTAGGAGTTATGAGACCACTGTAGAATTATCAAAACTTCATCTACTAGCCATCACTTCTCCAAGCCATCTTTGATGAGAACCTGCTATGTGCATGGCTAGGAAGGAAGCTCAGGGAGACAAGATCAATAACTATCCTCAAGGTGTTCCTAAGTTTATAAAAGGATAGGACAAGCATACACAACGTAGGCTACAAAATCATCCAGGGGAAAAAAAAAAAAAAAAAGATATCATAGATGCATCATAAATACACAAGTTGCTTTTTTTCTTGTTTTGTTTGTTTGTTTTAAGGAAACATCACCACAAATAATTGTTAATTCATCACACACACAGCCATCAATCTGAAATATTATTTGTTAAGGCCTTCAAGCAGCAGTTAAAATTTAGCTAAGCAGCATTAGCTCCTACATATCCTGAAAAACTTTCTCCAATAGTGTAATTCAGTTTATATAGTTCATTCAATTCTAGGATCTTGCAGAAATCAGACCAACATGGTATGTCTTAAAAGTAAAAACTACTACTATACAGTATGTAGCAAACTTAAGCTGGCAAGAAGCAAAAACTTGTGTACAGTCCCTTCTACATGCAAAAGGGTAACACTTAACACTTAATCCATTCCCTTCACTCACTCTCCAGCCTTTCTCCACCTCCAACAAAGATAGACATGTTCTTTATCAGGCAAAAGAAATCACCTTTTCCATTTGATGTCAGGGTAACTAAAATGGTTCTATAACTGGTTTACACCTCCTCCAGTAAGTACTTAAGCATTTATTTAAAATACACATATATATGTGTGTGTGTGTTTATATAAACACACATATATACATATATGATATATAATTGATATATCTATAGTATATATAATTTATATATATACACATATATATAATTGACATATATGTGCATATATATATAAATATATATGTGTGTGTGTGTGTGTGTGTATATATATAAATTTTACCCCTTCTACTATCTTCATCTCTTTTAAAAACAAGAGACACACTTTAATTACTTTTCTAAGATCCTATTTCCACATAAACTTTGCTTTGTAAATGCTCTTAAAACCAGATTTTAATTGAGTTAATTCAGACGAACAAAAATACAGTCTCCTAAACTTCTGCTACAAGTTATGTCGGTGGTTTGTTTTTGTCTTTCAAAATGTAATAAACAGTAACTTCGCATTTAATACAAAACAGCAATTGTATTTGGGGGGTTTTGTTTTGTTTCTTAACAAAATGCATTTCAGCACCAGCACGAAACTTTCTGTGAGAAAACAAAAGAGGAGTCATCATGGAGTTCATTACTGACCCAGGGCAGACTTTTAGCCTCAGAATGAGCAAAAAGAAATAGTCATTTTGTAATAAATCCCCTCCCACTATTTCTGCTGTGTGACTTAAGAGTTGGTCCAAAAGGTCATCTTCAACAATTATGTCTGGTAGATCGACTACACAGTTTCTGCAACAGGTGACATGAAACTGCCTTTCCCAAGCTGAGCGATTACCATCCAATTAAGATGACTGCTCCTATGGGGTTTCTGTTGTCGTTGTTTCTTTTTTACTTTTATTTTGTATTGTACCAAAGTGATTTCTAATTGAATGAATTCGCAAACGCACTTTGGTTCGGTTTTCCGCTTTGCTTTGGAATCAGCAAGGAATAAAAACAAACACACAAGACCAGATGAGGCTCCTTCCCCTACTAACCCACCTCATCTATTTCCTTCGCACAGTTTTAAACCACAGAGCCAGTGGGGTGAAGGGAAGCAAGTTCTGTTTGTTTGTATGTCCGCCACAATCTGTCTGAATCTCTAATCCCCTTTTAAGGAGCAGATAGATCATACAAATCGAAAGGCACCCCATTCGAAATGCAAAGAGGTTTGCGAAAACAAGAGGTTTCTTTCATTCCCAAACACCAAACCAACACAAGAGAAGAGAAATTAATGCAATGGATATGCGTGTGCCAAAGTTTCCATCGTGCCCAGTGGAGACACTGCACTGGCACACGTTTCGAAGAAGGAAAAAAAAAAAGGGGGGCCCGGGGAGAGAGAGAGCGAGAGAGCGGCCTGCAAAGTGCAACAATGCAATCTCCATTTTGAACAATGCGCCTCTTTCCTCTTGTAAATCGAGTTTTTTGCCACTGGATGTGCCGTCGCATTTCCCCTCGGTTTGGGGGGGCGCCGGGGGTGGAGGGAGGCCGGAGCAGGATGCACAGCACACGAGAGGGAGTGAGCAGGGGGGAGGGGAAGGAGGTGGGGAAGCGTCCGCAGCCACTGGGCTGGATGGGTACCTGGAGTGCTGCTGTAGGTGCTATGGCTCCTGAAGCTGCTTTCAGTACAGTAACTGGCGTCGTCGGCGTCGTCTTCCATCTCCTCCGGATAATCGGAGTCATCGTCGTCCTCCTCCATCTCATCTTCCTCGTCGTCCTCGGAATCCTGGGTTTCCTCGGCGTCGCCGTCCTCCTCCTCCGAGACCATGTCCTCCTCCTCCTCCTCCTCGCTCTCGTGGTCATCGTACACCACTTTGTTGACGGCCCTCCGGGTCGGGGTGGTCCGGGCCAGGTGGCCGCCGCCGCCCCCGCCCCCCGTCCTGCCGCCCCCGCCTCCTCGCCCCCCCCGGCCCGGGGCGCTGGTGCTGGGGGGGGCCGGCGGCGGCGGCTTCCTCCGGCTACTGCTGCCCCCCCTGGGTGAGCTCAGCCGCGTCTTGGGCGCCACCTCAGCCTGGGCGGCGGCCCACCTGCCCCGGCTACTGCCGCGGTGCCGCGATCGGAGCCCCCCGATGGGTCCGGACGTGGGTGGCGGCGGCGGCGGCGGGGCCGGGGCGCAGCGCTCCGCAGCAGGAGCCGCGGGCTGCTTGGGCGGCCTGCCCCGCCGGCCCCTCATGTCGGAGCCGAGGCGGGGGGAGAAGGGAAAGCGGAGGGGGGAGGGGCGGGCGGAGGGGCGGCGGTGAGGGGCGCCGGGGCCGGGTGGGGAGGCCTGCGGGGCCGGGCGGGAGGGGCCCGGCCGGCGGAAGCGGGTGGAGGGAGAAGGCTCAATCCGAATTGCTGGGGCCCCACTCCGGATCGCCTTCAGCCGCCATCTTGTTTCTTCCCTCTCGCTCGGTGACTGGGGGAACCGACAGCGGCCGCAGGCCCGGAGCGCGGTCACGTGAGCTGCGCCGCCGACGAGCCTGGGACAGAGCGAGGCCGCACGGCGGCCGCTAGGGGGAGCGCGGGAGCGCCGAGTCGGAAGCGGAGAGCCTGGGCGCCTCCGCTCAGCGGGTGGATCGCGGGCTGTGGTGGCGGCGGGGGGTACAGGGGCGCTCCCCTCGAGGAAAGAACGCCTCGTAAAGGCCTCGCGAGGCGAAAGTCTCCGTGGAGTCCCCGACGGAGCCGGGACGGGGCAGGGCCTCCTTCCCGAGTTTCGTTTGCCCAGCTCGGAGAGAGGAGTAGAGGAGCCCCCAAATTCATACCGCATCTTGCCTTCCTGAAGAAACCGGTGCTGAGAGAGTCTGGGGGTCCTGGAGGAGGCGTCCCAAGCGACTAAAAGAAGCTATAGCGCCAAGCGACAGGGTGAAATTAACTGGAGACGGGAGGACAAGCCCCCAGAAACTGACACTCCCACAGCTCGCTTCTGGAGTCCTGAAATTAATCCCAATGACAACTGCCCCAGGGCTGTGCCAGCAACCACGCCCTGGCCTGCCAGAAACAGGAGGGATAAACTCTCGAAAACACTTATAATCTAATCTCTTACCTTCAGTGTCAGCGGTAGCTGAATGGCTAAATGCTACGTGTTATACCGTAGGGGTTGGGGGTTCCAGCTCTCTCTGTGGTAAGAGGTTCCTTTCCATCTAGATTCAAGGCGATGGGAACTTTAGGGGCTAGTTTTTCTGTGTAGGGTCCCTGTGAATCGGAGGAATTTCACAGCAATGGTTTGTTTCCCCCCCCACACCTTCCTCTTTGTCCCAGCTAGGAACTTTACCACCTCTGCAAAACTTTCAAATTTCTCATTAGCAACATAAAGGGTGCCTTCCCTCCTAAAGCCTGCTTGTATTTACAAAACATTTTTGTATTCTTGAGAAATCATTTTTTAATTTTTTTTTAACCTAATATGTTGTAGTTTCAGTCACCCACGACTAAATCTGAACATTTACCCAGGTTGGTGGAGGTTAGCCTTGGGGGAGAAGAGAAAGGTTTTATAAACATAAATTTTTATAAAAGTATGTTAACATCCAAGGAGTAATTTAAAGAAAAATAGCGGTATTTTGGTCAACAAATACCTTACACTCTAATTTAAAAAAAGAAAATAGAACACATGTGAAATGAATATTAAAGAAATGCAAGTACTAACTGCCAAATTCATTTCTTTAACAATTTGGTTGAGCACCGAGGGTCACAAGTTTATATGCGTTCAATGACCAGATAAAAGTAAATGAAGTGGGCAGGCTGAAACCTTGGAAAACTAAGCACCTAAGTTTTGTTTAAAGAGAGCACCTGCCGAAATACGGAGTCCTGGTGTGGCACTATGGGTTAAAGCACTGTACTGCAAAGTCATTTGAGCTGTAAGAATGGTGGTTCAAGCTTACTAGCTGCTCTTTGGAAATCCTGTACAGGATCTCCGAGAGTCTGACTGGCTGGAAAGCACTTAACAACAACAAAATACAAGCCTAAAATGGGCAGGTCTTCAACTTTTTCAAGATAAAGTGGAAATGTTTCATTGTCAAATGTTGGCAACTACGTTTTGTTTTCCAATAACTTTTTATTGTGGTTTGAGTGAAAGTTTATAGAGCAAAATGTTTTTCATTCAACAGTTCATACACATTTTGTTTCCTGACATTGTCAGTCATCCTTTCATATCCTATCCCTTCCTGTCTTCTGAGCTTTATTGTTGTTAAGTGCCATGGAGTCAGTTCTGACTCAGAGCAACCCTGTATATGGTTTCCAAGGAGCAAGCTGGTGAGGTTGAACTGCCAACCTTGTGGTTCAAACCAACTTTGGGATCCAGTGCATTATCCTGCAGCTCCACACCAACCTTGCAGTCTAGTACATTAACCCACAGCGCCACACCAGGACCTCTGAGCTTTATCCCTGGGCAAAAGCTGCCCTTTTAACCTCATATGGTTGATGTTCTAGGAAAGGCTTACTGTTGTTAGTTGTCATCGAGTCGCTTCCTACTCATAGCAACCTTGCAGTTCAAACCGACCTTACAGCCCAGCACATTAACCCACAGTGCCACACTAGGACTCTAGGAAAGCTGAGCCATAAGGGGTGAATTTGGTTACAGGTTTCCCTGACTAAGGCCCATGGTGGTGGTTATGTGCCGTGAAGTCGGTTCCAACTCTTAGCGTCCCTGTACAGGGTTTCCAAGGCTGTAAATCTTTACAGAAGCAGAAAGCCTCATCCTTCTGCAGGACAGCTGGTAGTTTCAAACTGCTGACCTTGCGGTTCGCAGCCTGATTTGTAACCACTACGCTACCAGAGCTCCTTTAGCCTCTGGGAGATCACTAGTCTCCATCAGACAAGTAAGTCTGCTCTTTTTGTTGTTTTTGAAGTTTGTTCCACATTTTTCCCTCATTCTGTCCAGAACTTCCTATCAGAGTGGTCAGCAGTGGTTGCCAGGCACCATCTAGTTCTGGTTTCAGACTCACGGAGACTGAGGTCTATTTGTTCTTTGGACTAATTGTTTCCTTAAATCTGATTTTCTTCACATTTCTTTGCTCCTGGAGGGGAGAGACCAATAGTTGCATCTTAAATAGTTACTCTAAGTCATGTTTTGTTTTTCTGTGTTTTAACACTTTCTACCAGATACAGTAAGGAGCTCTGGTAGCATAGTGGTTACGAATCGGGCTGCAAACCTCAAGGTCAGCAGTTCGAAACTACCAGCTGTTCCGCAGGAGAAAGATGAGGCTTTCTGCTCCCATAAAGATTTACAGCCTCGGAAACCCTGTACAGGGTCGCTATGAGTCGGAACCAACGCCACAGCACATAACAACAACAACCAGATATAGTGAAGTCCTGGTGTTGCACTGTGGTTAATGCTTTGGACCCCAAGGCCAGTTTGAACTGCAAGGTCTGGAGTTCAAATTCACCAGTCGGTCCTCGGAACCCCTATCCAGGGTCACTATGAGTCAGAACTGATTCAGGCACTTAACAACAACAACAACCAGATATAGCACTTGGAGTTTTCAGTTGTAAACAACAGAAATCACTTCTGCTTAATTAAACAGAAAGGGAATTCTTGAGAAGGATTTGGTCTAGCATTTCTGGTTCCAAATGTGAATGGAACCCAGGCTTTCAAGCTGTTGTCTTCCAAGTGACCCAGTAGCCATGTGAGGGTTCCGTGGACAATTCTACAGTTCTGTCAAGCCATTTGCTTCTGGTGTTGGGGTTTACAATACAGCTAGTGAATCTAGTAAAGCAAACCCACTGCCCTTGAGGCATTTCTGATTTATAGCACCCCTATAGGACAAAGTCCTGGTGTGGTGCTGTGGATCCATGAGCTGACTGCAATGTGGTTTTGAACCTGAAGGTCAGCAATTGGAACTCACCAACCGCTCCTCGGAAACCCTATACAGGGTCACTGTGGAGCCGAACCAAGTCAACAGCACGTAACAACATAAGACAAAGCAGAATAGCCCAATAGGGTTTCCAAGGCTGTGATCTTTATGGAAGTAGGCAGTAGGTGGCCACTTCTTTCTCCCAGGAGCAGCTGGTGCATTCAAACCACCAATGACGTTTCAGCCAAGCACCTCTGGATGAGCAATCGAGTTCTTTAACCTTTGCACCACCAGAACTCATGCTAGTGAATCTAATAGACTAACCAATCTCTTTACTTCTTTCTTTGTGAAGTTAGTTACATGGCCAAATGCATGATGTATAAGATGCCACAATGGTAAGTATATTCAGCAAATGCATGCAGTGTGATGATGATGGTAAAAGCATGGCTTCTCAATTAAATTGACTTGTCCTGCTGTCTCCTCCATGAAAGAATGAGCCCCTTATAATGACTCCTTCCAGCATGGGCACTTAGCAGTGGCAATTGCCAGGTCAGCTTTGTAGAAGTAAAGCACATGTTGAGCCCATTATAGGCTTGCTCCCACCCTCACTGACACTTTGTGTATGACCCCATTAAGCTTGACTAGGGAACGAACTTGACCTACATCCCCAGGGTAGGTCTCCTTGTCAACTAATAAAGTTTCCTTAGCTTTAGTGATATTTTGATAGGTATGCATGTGGGGTGCAAATACTATCTAGGCCTATTCTGAGGGGTTCATCTACACCCTTCTTTCTAAAACTCCTTCTCACCAATTCTCTTAAGTCCCTGGCCAAAGGGACACTCACTGTCCATGACTTGATATAGCGGCTTTCTCAAGGTGAGAACCACAAGGAGTAAAATTCAAGGCTCTGCCTGCTCTGAAGATGTCTTTTTGCCACTGTTCTTCTAGACCATTTCCAGATTCCGGCTTGGCACTTCCAGCTGATACCACCCATAAAGCAAGCTCATGGGGACTTTGGGTTGTGTATTGAAGAAGGGGTGGCATTGAAATGAGAGTAAACTGGAAGTTGTACTCATTCTGTGCCTTCCCCACAACCTGCTCAGGCCTGTTTGTACATATACCAAGTTGTCATGGGTTGAATTGTGCCCCCTCCCCCACCCCACCCCAGAGATCTATCAACTTAGTAAGCATAGTGGTTACGAATCAGGCTGCGAACCTTAAGGTCAGCAGTTCGAAACTCCCAGCGGTTCTGCAGGAGAAAGATGAGTCTTTCTGCTCCTGTAAAGATTTACAGTCTTGGAAACCCTGTGCAGGGTCATTATGAGTCGAGTCGGAACCGACTCCACAGCATAACCACCACCATCACCAGTAGACTATGGTTCACAGTACTGTGTGGCTGTCCTCCACT